AAGCAAGCCGCCGAAGGCTCAACGCCCTGCGACTGCTCGAGATCCCCCCTTAAATCTGACTCCATATATTTCTTGGTCAGCGCGATTGCTCAATCCTGGAGGCGCCGGGCTACCAGTCGAATCGTCGCCCCGCTGCGTTCCGAATCCATTTCCCGAACCCGCTGCGGCGGGGGCGAGCCCTGGAGAGCTGCCATAATCTGCGCGCGTCAAAGCCATTCGGCCAGAAGGATGCGGACGGCAGGGGCTGATGTGGCAGCGTCGGAGCAGCCCTCCAAGTAGACGCGGCCCAATTGGGTCTCAGTCATAATGCCTGTCACCTCCCGCGTGGCGTGCAATTTGTCCGCGGGGCCCAGCTTTGAATGCTCGGCGCAATGGGCCCGCCCCGGGTCGAGCACTGCGCGGCCCGCCCAGCGCGCCGAGTCAGGATGGCGCGCCAAGCGGGGGGGGGGGGGGGGGGGGGCGAACAGCGACGGGCTCTTATTTGGTCGTCTCCGGCCGAAGGACAACGGCGCGCGGTCCGAATATGTCGAGCGACGAAGAGCGCGCCGTCGAAGAAGTCCGCGCCGTGGCGATTCGTCCAAATGCGATCCAATCGGGCCGAATAAGACAACGCGCGGCGTGCGCGACGTTCTTGATATGGCTCGCGGAATCCAGCGCGTGGCCGAACATTGCGCCGCCAGAACGTCGCCTCTGCGGCGTCGCGATGGCCCGCGTGCGTCTGGGAACGAGCGCCATAGCGGCCTTCGTCCTGCTCGGTGCAATCCCAGTCGCAACCAAGTGCGCGCAGGGCGTCTATGTGTTCATCGACCCAAGCTTGAGCAGGGGCCAGCCGCCCCAGCTTTCCTATCGGCCTACCGCGACATGTTCGTAGAACTGCAAAATGTTCCTGGAACGTTAACCCGATGCCTTAAACAAGACGGCCCCAATCAGAACTGCTCCAATGGCATCTCGCGCAGACCGCAATGGGTTCCTAGAACATGTTTTGGTGGACCTATAGGGGGGCCAAGACGCTTCGCCACTGCTCGACGCGCTGCAATCTCCCTCGCAATTCGCTGAAGTTCCGAAACCGCTTGGCCCGCGGGCCGGGCCGCGCAGTCGATGAATGCCCGCCCTGCGCGGCCCCGTTCCGAACCGGGGCGCCGACGAGGGCGCGCTGAAGTGTTTCTGGAAACTGTTCTGCACCGGGGTCATCGAACCGCCTCGACGCCGCCCCCCCCGCGGGCCACGCGGGGCGCGGTCTCAGACGGAGGCTGTCATGCGCGGGCAATGCCTTCCGCCCCGCGCACTTCCCGTAGGAAATGGAAACCACGGTTACCAAGCAATGTCATCATCTGCGTTCGTTCGCGCGCTTGCACTTCCAGGTCGCGCGCCAGAAGGCCGCGTGCATTCCAGCGAGCGCCGCGGTGGCCACCGCCGAAGGGCAATCGTGCATGAGACGACAAGCGAAAGCAAGACCTCCTCGAAGTAGGGGTCCAAATGGGCAGCTGCCCCGGCCCGACGGTGGGGGCGCGGGCGGCTGTCGTCGTGGAGGACTGGCTGGAGCTGGCGAGAGAGGTATAGGCCGCCCTTCAGCAACCGCTTCCAAGTCCCAGGTAGCAAGGATCGCGCAGCGAATTGCGATCCCCACTAGCGTCGAGGGAACCCTTCCCCGAGGTTCGTGGTGACCGAGCTCCTTGCGCTGATCCGCCAGACCTGAAGCGCATCCCATGGGCGGTCGGCTATGCCCGCGGAGTCCAGGCAGCCCGCCCCGCGCCCCAGCTGTGACGCCCCGAGCTCTGACCGATCCCGGCGGTCGAGACCTGCAATTGCGCGCGCTCGCGAGGCCCGCTCCCGGGGGCGTCGCGCCGCCCGCGCCTGGTACGCAGCAGCCGTTCACGCGGGATGCCAGCGCGATCGCCTTCTCCGAAGATGCTCCAACGACCGCCATGCCCCCGCCAAACTTGCCGGTGGGGTTCGGGATCGGCGTCGAGGAGTGGCGAGAGTCCTCCGCGGTGCCCCCTTGATCTAGACGTGGATCTCAGTGCGCGATGGGCCTGCAACCTCCCTCCAATTACCTAACATTGATGCCTGCTGTCGCAGATTGCGAGCCATCGGTAAAACTCAGCTCCATCCGCCGCGCGTGCTCGCCCTCCAGGTGATGCGAAGTATGCGTGCTCCTTCTCCTCCCTAGCGTCGCTGCGTCAGCGCGCGTTCCCACATCTCCTGCGGGGTCGTCGTGATCAGGGTCCCGCGCTCGCAGGCAGCCGCATCCAAGCCGTGGACATCGACGATGAGCGCCCCAGGGTCGTTGAGGAGCTGCGCGCGTCCAATGATCACATTGGGGAAGGCCCGCAGACGCTGTCGAAGACCACGACGAAGTATCGTGATTTGTAACGGGGAGGTCATCGACGTGCATCCGTCGATGGGCGACCTGAATTCTGGGCCCCCTGGCTCGTCATAAGCCTGCTCCATCCCAAAGTGCCCTCCGCCCCGACTTGCCGAGTCAAGGCGCTAATCTCCG